AGTTGGCAGACAACTTTCCTGTTTGTTCCAATACACAAAATAACTAAAATATTTGTTTTCTTCTCAAAATAGATGAATCAGGATCTTTTCATTTCTTAATAGAGGACCTACTGTATGATGTATGCAATGCATAATACATTTTGAGTAGTGCCCCAAGGGAGAAGGCAATAGAGAAAGAAAAAAAGCAGAATTTTAAAATGATATATTTGTACACAACAAACAGAAGAGTTATCCAAGACATCACAATCCAATCACAAAATTGCCAATTTGAGATTTGCATAGATTTAATGACCTCATTTCAGACTTTCATAACTTTCTTATTATTGGTTTGATTTATTTTAAACTTTCACCATTCTGTGTATCTTATTTTTCTGCTTTCCTTCAAATTAACTTATAACAAAAGTTGGATTGCCCCTTCAGCCATTGACTCTGTAGTACAAGCAGTCTCCTAGACTACATGTACATATTGTAGTCAAGGGGAAGGGCTGCTGTCACAACTGTTTTTGGATGCTTGGGCCATAAGCATTTACATGTATTCTCCTTTTCTGTCTTCAGGATAGCCGGCCAAAGTTTTTGTAAATATAGTCTTACATTCAATACAAGATGTACCAAAGTGTCCAAACTTATATTTTTAGTAACAACATTTCTATAACACATGGACATACACTGTACATGTACATGTATGAGGCGACTATACCAAAATGCCCAGACCTTGAATGTATTCTACCATATGTATGTACATTTTAATAACACTTGTACATGTATGAAAGCGACTGTACCAAAAGATCCAGTCTTGAAGAAATTGCCATACATGTATGCCCTCAGGTAGGAATACTCCCCAGGGAGTGTAAATTGTGCATACTGTGTGCGTGAATGAATCTGATGACAGGGGTAATAACAACATCTGTGAAGTGCTTAGAGTTAGACTGGAGACAGTATTCCATATTGATGGCTATATAAATCCAGAATTATTATTATGAGCCTATTGCAAATTGTGTCCCAGCAAGAGCTTGTTTGTCTCTTTAAAATTTGCTTTAATAATACTCCTCTTTGCGTGAATGATGAGTCACAGTCTGAGCCTGATCGCAAATCGCAATCCCTTTCTGCATAATATGGACAGTACTGGATAATTGCAAATTGAATCATCAGACAGAAGAACACTCTTGAAATGGTCTCTTTTGAAGTATAAAACATGATTTATTCAGGACAAGGATTTTACATGCATGTTTGTGAGGTGTGTGTACCAGTACATTCAAAAGGTTTTAAAACATGAATTTCTATGTTAGTTGGGAACAAGTTGATATAAAATCATCAAAGTATCAAGATTAAAAACTGATAAGCATACAGAATTGAAATCCTAGTAAACAGTTGTGCCGGGTTTGACACTAAATGTATATTGGGGATATTAAGTGGCTAAGTATTGGCAACAAGCAGATTAATATCCTGGCTCATGTTAGCGTCCAATTAAATCTTAGGGTATTGCTTTTCCTTGAAACCTTGCCTGTGGCAAGCCCTGCCTAGTTACAGGGCTCATGTTCATGAGAAAGACATATGGAAAGTAATTAGTTAGTGATCACAAGATTAGCATGACATTCATCTAGATTACATGTACAGAAGGCTGCCTTCATTTTAAATGAAGTTTGTGGAGATACACCATTGACCATGGATACACTGTACATGAGGGATATATGTTACTTTGTGCATGTTCAGACTATGGGTAATTTAAAAAGAAATGTGTAATGATACATGTACATGTATATCAACTTCAAGCAGATTGGCATTTACTTGTGTGCTGTGCAGAGTAGCCTCTTAAAGGTACAGTATTACAAAGTTTTGGGAAATTTTGAAAAATGGGTGGATAGTGATTCTTTACAATTTTGATATATTTGGATGCCCCTGTAGATGTATTAAAAAACACCAGAAATGTTAGCCCCTAAAGCACTTCTGCTTTCGAGAAAAATTGAATATAAAGATTTACCGGTGCTCCCGGTAAATTTTGATAAATTTCAAATAGCTCCTACGGCCGTACAATGGTAACTGCGACCAAGGAGTTGTGGTATATAATTTCCGAACGACAATAGCTAATCGGTCGATTTTAATCAATAAGCATTGTTTGATAGCTTAATTAATATCTTGACCTTGAGAGGGAGCTATTCAACATAAAATGTTTATTATTTACAATTTCATAACTTTAGAGTCGATTTCGACCACAACAACGATCACTGAATATTGTAGGATCGTATATGCTTCCAATATATTCATTTGAACCAAATTCAAGACCAGTACCAAAACTTTGTATTACCTTTAAAGCCTGTTTAAATGTATATGAAACTCTTTTGAAGAAACGTCCTATGAAGAATCACTGTGTGGTCGAAAGGGGTGTACAGATTAGACAACGATACTGTCTAAAGAAATTAGTTTTTAAGAGGTTAGAAGGCTGTTGACATGGAAGCTGGCCAATCTTCAGTGCATGCTCACCAGGTTAATAATATGATACTTGTATTAAGCGCAGGAGAGTAGTATAGTATTGTAGCTGCGCTATATAAATGTCCATTTCATTATTATTATTATTATTATAAGAACAGCGCCAAATTCAAGAGTAACCCACTAGCGGACATCGAGGGGCAAATAATTTTGTAAAACTTTACGCCTGCTTCCAAGGTAATATTTTATTTGTTCAAGGTAAAAGTGATATATCTCACACTGTTCCTTGTTCATATCAATCAATCATATGATTCTGAGATGAACTGAGCTGGTGATGACTTTAAAGGTACTATGTCCCATTTGCAGGCCAAAAATATGAAAAGGTTAAATTCCAACTGCATTTGAAAGACAATACTAATTAAGAACTTCCCTAAAAAAAAAAAAGGGGGGGGGGGGCTTGAAAATGTCTTTAAGTGGGAAAATAACAACTATTAGTTGTCGAATTGACTAGCAGCTCAAGAGCCAGTACCTGTAATTAATAGTCTGATTTTTCAGACCATTGTACTGAATGGTCATACGTTTTATGCTGTGCAGAGATTCAGTTTAATTTTGGTCATTACAATTTACAAGAAGTGGGTTATTGATACTGTAGACAAATGCTCATGTACCCTTTACAGCTCATGTTACGTATGTTAGTACCAAAGATGGAAAAAGCCAGTCAGTCACTCAATAGTGTCTGACAGTGAAGTCTAGCAAGTAAACGGGTTTCCTTGCATAATTTAAATATTAGGATACTGCTAACGTTTAAATTTCACAGATAGGACATACATGAAATATCCATAATTCCTGCAAAGTTCTACAGAATTTGATGTTCGCTGCAAAAGGGACATACATGTAGAACCTTTAATGTCTCCTTTGAGTTAGCCAAGGATGAGACAATGGTTGTCATGGCAACAGATACTCTCTCAATTTAAAACACAGTGTGAGTATGAACTAGTCTGTAGTCTGTAGACTCAGACTACGATCAGACAATTAAACACAATAGGCCTGTTTACTAATATATTCATATTTTAGGCATACTTTTTAAGGAAATGGTGTTCTTGACAATCTGAAAGCTTGTCTGAGGCTCGCCCAACAAAGCAACACATAATATGCAGCTTGGAATCCAAGCATTGTAGTACAGGTTAATGGAATAACTTGTCACTTGTTTCCCAGGAAAGAAACATCCATAAAATTGAAATGGTTAGTAAATACATGTAGGTCTATTTAAAATAGTCTTGAGCAGAGGCTAACTCTGTCAGTCTCTGGCGTAAATATCCATAAATGAAAGATACCGATAGACGCCATAAAGACTAAATCAACAACAACAACAATGGTTGTGTCCAGAGCAGCTACAGCAACAATCAATAGCATGAACATAAACACTCTTCAAGCTCCTCTAAAGTGTTTGGAGCCCCAAATTTTTCAAAAATGTTATGGCATAAATTTCACTTAAATTGTATCATAATGTGAAAGAGGATTTCCAAAACAAATGTGTTTGAAGACAAATAATATTGATAAAAGAATTTGGGTTTGCGTTTTCTGTTGTACGCAGAAAAATTAATTTTGTATTCTTTCATCAATATTTGACTTCAATTTTGCCATCAATTTTTGGGGCTCCGAACACTTTACAGGGGCTTTAATGTATGCCAGTGTGCGGTAATGCCAGGGCTGTGAATGCTTTCAAGTTTCAGTTGACATCCACATTATTTCCTGAAAGGTTATTAATTACGTTCTGCATCTTATATTTCATGTGCTGTGCTGTAGGTCTATGACAGCAAAGTCTTTTGACAGCATGACTTCATACAATATGTAATTACACATGTATAGTGGTCTACAATCACACTGGATATTATGAATTGTATTAACTGGGGTTAATTTACAATTTATTATATTGCTATTTATATGGAAATGTATGGTCTAGTGGATCGTTGGACTGTAGATCACAGGGTCCGCGGATCGAGTCCCGTGGCGGCACTAACGTCCTTTGGCAAGACATTAATCTACATTTGCCATTCTCCAGCCAGGTGTTAAAGGTAATACAAATTACAAAGTTTTGGGAAATTTTGAAAATTGGGTGGATAGTGATTCTTTACAATTTTGTTATAAGCGCTAGAAAAATTTGCCCCTAAAACACTTCTGCTCTCGAGAAAAATTGAATATAAAAATTTACCGGTGCTCTCGATAAATTTTGATAAATTTCAAATAGCGCCTACGGCCGTACAATAGTAGCTGTGACCATGAAAATCTCAGAATATGTAGATGTGATATATAATTTCCAAACAGGAGTACAATCGGTCGATTTTAGTCAAGAAACACTTTTTCATAGCTTAATTAATATCTTGACCTTGAGAGGGAGCTTTACAACATAAAGAGTCTATTATTTATAATTTCATAACTTTAGACTCGATTTCAACCGCCACAACGATCACTGAATGTTGTAGGATCGCATATGCTTCCAATATGTTTATTTGAACCAAATTCATGACCCCATACCAAAAACTTTGTATTAGGGATTACCTTTAAATGGGTACCGGTAGGAAGGAATTCCGTGAATACTATGGGCACCGAAATCGGCAGCCTAGCAGAGCCGGGTAATATTGGAGTGCCTTGAGCCCCTTGCATGGTGGATATGTGCGCTATATAAATATCTGATATTATTATTACTATTTTTTTTTTATTGCACTGAATTACAGGTGTATGCTCAGATTCAAGATATACTGTACATGTAGTTTTAGAACAAAGACTACTCAGCTACTGTCTGTATTAATGATGGTAAGAAAGATCGAGTATAATGAAAGCTGGACAAGTTCTACAGAGAATTTGACCTTTACAGAAAGGAAGTAGAGCAATGATAATATATCAAGCAGACTGCAGTATAGACTTGTGTGTGCTCAGTTGAACTTGTATGAAGAAACGTTGTGTAAATAATCATCGTATATACAGACTGGATCCCAACATCGTATAAAGAAACGCTGTACAAGGAAACTATAGAAACTAGTTTTTAATGAGGTCGGATGACATGAAAGCTGGCCTGTTATTAAGGGCATTTGCAATAGTCCCGCCCAGTTTTACAGTTTTTGTAGAACGGGATGCTGCTTCTGTGGTCATGTACGGTAAGTTGTGCTTTTCATTGATTGCGTTTTCCTGCAATTTGTTTTTATCAAATATGTATATGTACATGAAGGTCAACACAACACATCTCTTCCGTAAAGAACATTTGAAATCTAATATCTCTTGGAATGCGATTCATTGCTAGATACTGTACCTACTGAGTTCACATGAGGACTTAACTTGCAGCTTATTTTTTATGATTTGACATCAGTTTAATTTGATTTATCATTAATACCTCCTCATCACAGAGCTTACCACATGTATGTATATGCTCAAACGAAAGCAGAAGGCGAACAACTATTTAAGTGCCAAACCGGAAAGAGATGGTGATTTGATCTTTAAAATCGAAACATTTAATGATTGTCTTGGAGAAGTAGCTTCTTGGCAACAATGTGGCATGGGGAAGTTTCACTTCCTTCACTTTAAATTGACTCCATTATTTGGCTGGGTTGATAAAAGGAGGAGGAGGAAATCTCATTAGGATAATTTCAAGTTCAAACCTTGAAATGTTGAATGTTAGGAGTACCATTGACCTGTACATCCCTGATCAGAGTTGATAGTAGTTAGGTTCACACAACACTCTGTTAACTTTAAGTTTAGGTTGCGGTTTAAACATTTTGGAAGATATCTTGTAATCAGGAACCGTGCAGATGAACTTTTGGTTACGAAAACTTTAACTTTACTGGAAGTTATAAACCATCTCAAGGTAAGCACAATAACTACGGGCAGGGGGGGGGGGGGCCTCCTGGCTCAATGCAATTTACTTTGAGATTGCGCCAGCAAGCTTGTACGGTTAAAACGACTGCTTGCCCCGCTTGTAGTCTTAAGATTTTGACTACTCAAAGTTTTGTTCCTGTGCGAAACTGTGAACCCCTTGTCATTGTTTGGCCTTGGGGAATCATTGTTTATAATTTTGAGGATTCACAAACTTGACGATTTAAAGTAACTAATGTATGACGGTCCCAAGGGAATCCCTTGTCATTGTTTGGGGATCATTGTTTATAATTTTGAAGTTTCACAAACTCAACGTTTTAAACTTTGACGGTCCCGTGCAAACGTGGCTTGTAGATGGGTGGGGAGAGGGTGACATGGATCAAGGAAGTTTCTACCCAGGTTTTTGTTTAGATTTAAGAGTTGCTGACTGCATGCATTGTATATGTGCCAGACAGGAAAACAAGAATTTGGAGACAGGATGTAGAATGTTGGTGAACAACACTGAACTTGTATAGTTGTAAGACAGTACAGTATGGCTTGGAACTTAAACTGGAAGACATCTAGGGAAGAAATGTGACTACATACATGCCAACTGTTCAGATTAAAGAGGAACATTCCTCTTTTTGGGAGAAGATAATTATCATTTTAATGCAGGTGTTCCTCTTCCTGTACAAATTTGTCTGTAGTATTGAATAGGAGAGTTAGGATTGTTCCTCTTTTTTTTGAAAATAGCATAATTTGTACAGATTTCTGATTTTCAAATGTTGGCATGTATGTGACTATGCAGTTACATCACAGTGTGGACAAATATTTTTTTTTAAGTCGTGCTGAAATATTCTTGATAGCAGCAGAAATTGGTGTCCAGAAGATTACTAATCTTTGGGAAGCAATTATGATGAAGGTTTGTCACACAGATCAATAGTTTGTTTTAAAGGCATCGTTTAACAATGTTAAATCTGAGATGCACGGCCCTACGTGTTATCAGTGTCTGTGATATGGTGTGATATAGAAGCCCTAAACAAATTGCGCTTCAAAATGATCGAGAAGTGCCTCAAATACAAGTAAGTAAAAATCTTTGAGTGACCGGATTTACCATACTCGTTTTCCCCAATAGACTGTAGTGTTATGAAAACCGTTTGACAAACGGTTTTTAAAATTTGTAATTCCAATCATAAATATCTTGATAATCAGACAGGCGATCGGCTTGTAAAATTCACAGGGTTCCTGACTGACCTAAAGGTTTATAATGATCATTGCAGCATGAGCTAAATCCAGGACTTTGTTTCAGAATCTGAGACAAAGTTACCGGATCCCTTTAATGTTTAATGTTCATGCATGGACAGCTGTATAATGTTGAAACAACAAACAATGCTTGACTTAAGGGCTCTGTTTCCCAAATCCATTTATCAATAACACGTGTCTCATTTCTGTAATAAATTTGCTCATAGTCAATGGAATGCATTGATTTCAGTAGCTACATGTAGTATAACAGTTACTTGTTATTGACAAGATTAAACATGGCCCTGGTTGAACAATATCTACTTCCAATGCAATTTGTACATTGTAGCAACACTCTTTAGGTAGTGAGTACTATTTCTATTGATGTTTTGGTAATATTTAGTGAGTTCATGTACTATTTCTATTGACATGGTGGTAATAATAAGTACCATTTATTGATATGTGGGTATAATAGTGAGCACTTTTTCTATTGACATGTTGGTAAAAGTTCAAGTACTATTTCTATTGACAAGTTGGTTATAACTAGGGTTGTCTAGACTGCAATGCCCTGTTCATGCATGAGGCAGTATACAGCTTAAAAATGAAAATAAAAGGTCAGTTCACTTTACATGTACATTTCTGAATCGTAAAGTACGAAATCAATAGGTTTTTGGGGGCCATTTTAGCCCACATCTGTGGGTACATTTACATGTACATGTACATGTATTTCCCCCCTCATGAAATTGCTGCTTTCCATTATTAAATTTACATGGAATATTTATTTTCCCATGTTTTTTTTTGCTGCTTAAGGCGGTTTACCGTGTCATGTCTGAATGGGACTTAATATTGAGAAATTAAATTTTATTCAAACAGTTCCTTTGGAAATTGTGCCATTTTCTTAATTCAGGGTCAAGTTCTATCAATTTATCATTACTACTCTTGTATATCTTTACATGTACATGTAGTTACATTAATCAGTAAGTATAAAGATTGTATTAGGCGTTTCATCTAGTGAACCCAAATTATATTTATATACTGTCGCCATAACTGACATACTAAATACTGAATACTGAATTGTGTGTATTTACAGATTGACTGAGAAAGAGAGGAGCTTGAGGAGAGGAAGTCGTCTTGAAAAGTCATTCACCAGAGGGGCATGCTTGACAGATCGTCATGGTGACTCATCCAAGGGTACTCACTCAATTTGTAGGAAATGCCTTTAGATCGTGACCGAGATCACTGAGCAGTTTGCGGCCTGCGTGAGGGATCTACGATGCCATGTGTTTTCTGCATGTCTGATGCTTTGGAGTGTTCATGAAGGATCAAGTGTGCACGTGTGTCCTTCTCAAATACCTAGGAAATTTTGCAGCTGTGTTCACATGCGACGGAACACACTGTAGCACCTGAAGCCGTGTTGACACTGCCTGATTATGAAGCCTCCTTTGATTCAATACGCTCTTGATTTGTTTACACTCTCTGGATGGTTGTGTTTGGACTCTCTGGATGGTTGTGTTTGGACTCGTGATGCGTGACGTTGATGGATCATACATTGAATCGGTATCGTAAGAGATAGAACATTGTTTAATACGGGACTGTTGCCTAGAAATAGGGAAGTTGAGGCAATATGAATCGGTTCGTAGCATTTGGGATCATCTGTGTGGCGGCCATCTTGTTTTCATTGGTTGCATACAGTAAGCTGTCGGAGAACGGGGTATCCAGGAGAGGTCTTACAGCGATCGTCAGCAGCACGAAGGATGCATTGGTCGATCAAGACCAGGAGGAGCCTTTTAATTCACATTTAACCCTTCCGAAGCTGCCAACTTTCAGATCAAAGGAGGTAACGTTCCCCGATGAGAGTTCTTCCGACATCTCCAGTTCTGCGGACGAAGGATTTGGTGAACTCGCTGAACTTGTAAACACTCCGAATGAAGTCCAAGAAGAGAAGACACCTAGGGAGAATGATGATAAACCTATTGTTATTGTAGTACTAGCTCGCATGAGGACAGGTTCATCATTAGTTGGCGAGCTTTTCAATCAGAACCCGTCATTTTTTTACATATTCGAGCCTCTTCATGCGGTTGATAGTTTTATTCGTCACCATGCTGCAGCTGAAGTCCGTCGCCAGGGAATCTCCGTTTCTCTCCTGAGCATGCTCGCAAAATGCAAGTTTACACCGGAATTCATCGACAGCTATTCAAAATGGCCGCTGGGGAAATCAAAGAGCAGCGGATTGTTGCCAATTTGCAAAATAACCGATGGCTGTAGCCATGCTTCACATCACCTCGTAGAAGAAAGATGCAAAGCTTTTGGAGGCCGCATCGGCATGAAGACCATCAGGGCGGATCTGAATATGCTGAAAACTCTTGTAGAGAAAGATCATATCAATCTTAAAATCATTCATCTGGTACGAGATCCCAGAGGAACTGCTAATTCACGCCGTTCCTATTACGGGAAGAAGGTCCACTTGTCCAAATCTAAACAAATTCCACTTATATCGCTTAAAAACTTGGGGCTTTTAGAGGAGCACTCGCGCTATCATATTAATACCATCGTTAATTATTGTAAGTGGGTACGGGATAATGTCCCATTGGCCAAGTCGAGACCCACCTGGCTGGAGGGTCGCTATATGCTTGTTCGCTATGAAGACCTAGCTCTGAATCCTGTCAAGGCATCCCAGGAGATCTATGACTTCGTAGGTCTGACCATGCCCGCGAACATTCAGGAATGGGTGCGTAACAATACCAACGAGAATAACATTCAGAACAAAACCTTTGGCATGCAGAAGAACTCGAAGGAAGTCATGCAGAGCTGGCGCCACTCGTTGCCCTACGAAGAGGTACTCCAGGTGCAGAAGGTCTGTGGAACAGCCATGGCGATTGGTGGGTATAGGCAAATACAGAGCCCAGGTGATCAGACAGACATGTCCTTTGATACAATGGAAACCCTTTTTGGATGGTGATAGATTATAATTTGGAGAGCTGCAGAATAACCATGGTGACTGGTGGATGTAGGACAGTTCAGAGCCCAAGTGATCTAATAATCCTGTCCTGTGATACGATAGAACCCCATGTTTGGATGGTGATAGATTATAATTTGGAGAGCTGCAGAACAGCTATTGTGATTGGTAGGTGTAGGACAGTTCAGAGCTCAGAGGATCTAACAAAAGTGTCCTTTTATACGACCGAACACCTTTCTGGAATAGATGCTGATAGAACTGTAGATTGGGAGAGCTGCTGATCAGCCATGGTGATTGGTACGTGTAAGGCCGAACAGGGCCCAAGTGATCTAATAAACGTGTCCTTTGATACGATAGAACACCTTTTTGGATGGCACTAGGATTTTCTGGGGGTTCCCTGGAACAGCCATGGTGCTTTATAGTAGATATAGGGCAGTACAGAGCCCAGAGGAACTCATCAATACATGAAGGCCCCCCCCCCCCCCTCCCCCATGGGGTGGATGGGGAGGGAGGAATGATAATTGGACCGGTTACTGTTTAATAAATGGCTGATGTTGGTTTCATCACTTTAGATCAGCGTTTTTCAACTGGGATGCTCAAGACATCTCCTGGGGTGCAGTAAAAAGAAATAAAGTTTTTAAAAAAAATCATCTTGGAATTAGATAAATTTACGTTAAAATTAGAAAGATACTGCAATTATTATTGTGAGAAAATAAGGTCTTAAAGATAAAAGCTGTTGTTCTTCTCTGCTTGCAAAAAAAAGGAAAAAAGAGGTGATTTCATGGCAGCAAAGTGCCCAATTTTTTTCTCTATTTGACCACAAGATGCCCAAATATATATTATATTGTTTATATCAAATTACATTTTACCAAGCTTCTTTGCTTCACTTGCTCACAGCATTTAGAAACGGGAAATTGAGATGCCCGAATATAGTATTTTCAAGTTGATTTATTCGGCAGCGAGGTGCTCATTGCAAATTAACATATACCGTATTCTATAACAGAAATGTCATTCGTGTTTTGCTTGTTCACCTCGCTCGCTCCAAAAAATTAAAAAGCAATTTGCTCGTACAAGTTTACATAGCGAGCGCTAGTGTGATGCAAAACTTATATTCTGTGATAAATTTTGGATCGCGGTGAGATGAAACTTTTTATTTCTGTGGAGGGTGCCATGACTACAAAAAGGTTGAAAAACGCTGCTTTAGATAATGCTACTCTATTTTTTTATGCAGGAATTTGTTACACTGTGCAATTGTAGGACAATTGAAAGTATTTTAGCTCATTGAAAGTATTTTAGCCCATTGAAAGTATTTTCATCAATTGAAAGCATTATTTGTTCATTTACATTCAACAATGCTTTTCTTATTTAAAGCTGCATATAGTACAAAAGACTGTCTGTTTGTTTTCTGTCGTTGTTGTGTTTTTTACAATTCACAAAAAAACATGCAATATAGTATGTTTTTTTTAAATAGCATTTCTGTTCTTGTAAGTTGTTACTTTTTTTTTTTTTAAATCAATGAATAAATTTCATTGAATTATAAAACTTATATAATGCCTCTTAAAGTGAAGTTTTAGGTTGAATTATGGAAGAGATGAAACCGGCAATGTTGCTAATGGTACTAAATAATAATAACTATAATAAGGTAAATTTTTAATGCAAAGAAGACTTTGTCTCTAGGTGCAATGGTGGTGTTGTCCTAACAGTATGAACTTCTACCCAATGAAGAACTAGGACATCAGTACCATAATTACAAAGTTACAGTATTGATAATGATATGAACTGCAAAATAGATTTACATTCTTCGATATTACTGAAAACTATTCAGTGCCTGCTTTTTAATGAAAAAATATGTGAAAGGCTCAATAAATGAACCACACATAATTGCAATTGACCAATCATTTGATTGGGATCTATTTTGGAGTGAGTTGTAGGTTTTTATATTATGGTGATCACTCCAATTCAATGTGTACTTTAAACAAGTCACCTGTTAAAGTATTATGTGCTGACCTTTAACAAAAATTATCAGATCATATGTACATGTATGTTGTAAGTCAGGGGGCCCCATAACTAGAAGTTTAAATACATGCAGTTATTTTAGGTATTGCCATCTATCTAAAATCATAATCTATTCTTTTCTAGAGTACACAATTATTTCTCCCTCTAAATAGAAAAACAAACGGGGTTAAATAAAACAAGTCGGTATAATTGGATATACCTGTACATGTATGTCTGAGAGGACTAATATGCTATATTGAGATACTCTACACTTTTGTACAGGGTACTCGGTGTATGATGTCAGTAGGTATAAACTCCCTGCAGTATTTGTAGACTACATGAACATGCTGCAATTGGACTATATTTCTTCCATGAACATTTACCTGAATAAGATAACAATCTCAATTAATCATTTTGTGATAATCATTGCACATGTTATCGTTTTGCTCAATACATTTTGATTCAAAGCTTTAACAAAATATAACAGACACTTGATTAGAAAGGGCAAATATTTCTGCCCACATTGCATCCTTTTTTGTTCCTATTACTTGATTGCATTAGATGCTAGGAATTAAAAAAGGGAACATTGCCTTAAAATCTTTGAATAAGCAACACATCGAGAGATTCAAAATCATTGTTTTTTAATCAAAATTTGCCAATTTATTTTACTTTTTTCTATTAAACATTCTTGCCCATATTGATTGTTTTCAGGAAAATATAGTTTTATTTCAACAATGTAGTAACAAAATAAAATACTGTTGCCGATTTGAAGAACAATATGTGATCAATTTAGCCCTTTAAAAAAATCCTGTCCTGATTATACTATGGAGCTATTATGATTATATTGTGGTTTAGCATTATTAATGCTAAACCCATATCCTGATTGATGATGTATACTGTAAAGAAGTCGTGGGCATTAACTTGTCTGTCAAAAGTATTAAGTTCTGTTTGTCAAAATCTGAGTTGTTATAATCATTATAATCATGTAATTATTAGTATAATTACGTAATCAGTATAATTATAATTATTGAAGTGGATGAAACACTGCACTGTAGTTACTGTATGTATGCTAAAGACTGAGAGGTGATTTTATTTTGATAAGTACTTTTCCCACTAGTAATGATTAAATATTTCAACGTCAGTATATTGAGCATCATAAACTTCTTTACAGTATTATTTAATTACACCATTAATCAGAATATGGGTCTAGCATTAAAATTGCTAAACCACAGTAGATTCAGGACAGGATTTATTTTTAGGGCTAAATTTATCATATACTGTTTTTCAACATGGCAACAATAAGATGGATGCATGTTGTACCACAAGGAAATGTATTAGAGAGTACGAACATCATACATTTTAAAATTTATTTTTGATGCACTATCACTATCCCTGAACTGCTAGATAAATAGTTTGACGAAATATTGCTTATCACAGGATATGAAAGGATTTTTTATTCATAGTATCTTGAGAACAGCCTTGCTGAAAAGAAAAAGTTGCTTCGGTGACAGCTGCAAATTTGTGATTTTCAAAATAAAGATTTGTTCAAGATTACATCAAGGTCACATGACCAGTTCAATGAATGATCTGGTAATTCTTTTCAGTGATCTCATGACTCCTTATTCTTATGAACTGGATTCTCCTATTTTTTGAAACTTTTAAATTCTTAATAGTTATATTTCTATGATTACTACTACTATTATTGAAGGTTTCACTTGAAGGTATTGTCTGAGATAATTGAGTTACCCTCTCAGATTTGAGTTGAAATAAGTTGAAATTATGGGGAAATCAATCATCCTCGTGTAAACAATGAGGTTTGCCTGACGTTTGTGATCTCCAGGCTCGACTATGGTGGATGCCTGTCAGGATTTGGACAGACTCCAATGTCTCCAGAATAAGTGTGCTTGACTCATCCATCAAAAATAAACAAAATGGTCCCAGGCTTCCCCATTGTTAAATGAACTACACTTATGGCTTCCAGTTACTGACAGGATTACAAACTGGATACTTGTTCAAAATTGTAAAGCTTTATCAATCATTATTATATTTGTTGTTATTGTTATTATTATTATTATTATTATTAATTATTATATTGGTGTTATTATTATTATTGGTGTTATGATTATTAGTGTTGTTGTTATTTTTCTTTGATATGAAATGACTTTCCAGTTTCCATATACATGTACACAACATGTACAGTATGTTATATTTAATGTAATTAACAAACAATTCTAACCACTTTATGTGGTGGAATAAAAGGTTCTTAAGGCACAAGCATATCATACATACATGCCAACTGTTCAGATTAAAGAGGAACATTCCTCTTTTTGGGAGAAGATAATTATCATTTTAATGCAGGTGTTCCTCTTCCTGTACAAATTTGTCTGTAGTATTGAATAGGAGAGTTAGGATTGTTCCTCTTTTTTTTGAAAATAGCATAATTTGTACAGATTTCTGATTTTCAAATGTTGGCATGTATGTATCATATGTTTATAGCCAGAAGGGTGCTTCCAACTCTGAAACACAGAGTTAACGCCCTTCTGGCTCCAAACAGACGTTATCATGATACATATTACTGGGTATAAACATACTTTATGTCTTTACTTCCTTTTTTCCTCTGTGTAGTACCGGTATTGAGTTTGCCTACATGTGTGCTAGATTTTGTTGCACCCCCCCCCCCCCCCCTCCCTCCACAGTATTAGCAGTAGGATGTTTCGCATGTTTTTTTTTTTTCCTCTTTAATTATTGGTCGGCTCCCAGAAAGAAGGCCGAAAGAGAGTCATGAACCTTGTTGAGTTCTACGACCTTCTTCTTAGGGTTGTATCCGGTGTTAGGTTTTAATAAGAGATCTTGTATTTTAAATCTTTAAAGCATTACTTTTTATTTTCTGTGTTATCAGTGACATTGAAATATTTCATTTATATATACTTTATATATATATATATATAAATGAAAAAAATGGTTAATGGCAGTAACGGCCTTCTTGCTTAGCATTAAATCTAAAAAATGATAGGCATTAAAGCTCTTCTGGCTCCAGACTATTTGTTACTTTTAATTATTCCCTTGTAACTAGTAAGTTGAATATTCTAGAAATATAAAAATGATTTATAGTTTCATTTTAGCTTTCTTTTATGATTATCTGGTTAATTGTTTTTTTTTTTACATATTACCTCGGTGTATTATTGTTGTAAACATCTTAAATTAGTGGATATCTTGTAATCTTTGATATATTTGTCTCTTCAATAATGAATCATGATTCATCTCATCATGCCCATGGTTGTTCAATGACAATGACAATCCTATGCGAACTGAATTCATAATATCACCCCTGGACCAAACAATAATCGTCCCTATTTTCACGAAGTGACGGTAGTGAAGAAAATCGTCACGCAAAGTGAATGCAATTTTTTTCACTACCGTCACTTCGTGAAAACAGCGACGAATTTTCAGTCAAACCTAGTTTAGCCACCACCTGTCTATAAAGACCACATTTTTTGTTTCCCTTGAACTTGGTTCCTCATTGAATCCTGTAATTAAAGGGATCTATACATAAAGACCACCTGTCTGTAAGGTCCATCTTTTAATCTCCCTTGAACGGTCTTTATATACATGTTTCACGATACTAAAACCCTAACCATAAC